TGTTGAGGAAAATGGCTTTGTTGCTGAGAGAGACTTCGTCGTCAGATGAGGATGCGAGGGAAGAAAATGCAAAGGTCCCCAAAGCAGCTCCAAGAGAAGAACCAACAAAAGCTGAGCCGATTGACTTCGACAAGCTCTTTCCTGGATGGTGGGAGGGTGGCCAACACTTGGCTGAATGTGAGTGCGGTTTTTGTTTGCTTATACTTGTACCATTGTTGGAGCAGCGAAACTTCCAGCGAAGTAGCTGCCAGCTCAACAGCTTCAAACAGTGTTGATTTGGGTAAAGCCCATCAACGCCAGACGCGGCTTGACTTTAACTTGAAAATGCAAAGTGGGCTGTAGGATATTACTGCTTGTGTTTCTCAACACGTGTTCAGCTCCACCAAGACATGAGACTCAAATCTGACTCCGGGGGTTGGAGGAAAAAGGTCTCAGCTGAGATTGAAGGACTCATAGAACCAAAGAGCAGAATGAAACAAATACACGACATCAATAGTGCTGCACCTTTGAGAACATGTGAGACCACTGACAACGATTCATTGAAGTTTTCCACAGTGAGGGACACGACTGCCACACTTTATGGGAAGGAAGCAATTTTGCACAAGCCTTGCAAGGGAGGTCTGGCCCGCTTTGAAGTTCAAGGATGGCCCCGAAACAATCCAAGATGATGAAGCACGGAATATTTCCGTCGCCGAACGACTGGTCGAGGCTAGCGCCAGATCTTGGACGATGGAGCAGGCCTGTTGTTGATGGCGCTGGCCTTGCTTTCAAGTCATTGAAAGTGCCCTTTACAGCCATGAATGTCTACGACCTGGAAAGACGTGACCAAACCTTCCTTGCCATTGGCCTCACAAACCCAACAGAGCCTACCTATGTTCACGCAAGCGCTATTCTCCATGCGGCTTGCCACAATGGGACGCTGGAGGAGTTTGAGCGCGACTTGAACAAGTCTTACGCGGTTCTGCAAGACTTCAAAGCCGTGGTCAGACCAAGTACCAAAAGGGGAAAGCACTCATTGGAGCTGCCGGCCGACGTCAAGTACAAGCGTGGACCACCTGTCTGGAGGCGGTGGCTCTAACCACTTGCGAAGGAAAAGAACACCACTGGCTTTGGAAGATGGTGATGTTGGTGAAGAGACGGCCAGGAAGGCAGACAACGCACTGCAGGAGGAGGGGGAAGGAACAGCTGTGAAAACGGTCGTTGAAAAGGCTGAGGTGGAGCAGCGGCAGCCTGCGTCAGTTGATGCTACGGCGACAGCAATCCAGGACCAGCTGAAGGCCAACAAAGGTGAGAACCACCGAAAGCAGCGGCTGGGAAAAAACTCAACCAAAGGGAAAGGCCAGGCGCAAGGACAAGAAGGGCACTGTAAAAGGAGATGGTATCAAAACAAGAAAGGAATGGACATATCCAGGGATCCATGCTCAAGGAGCTATGCATCTTGGCTGTTGTACTGGTTACACCTGTCCCAAGAGTTCAAACTGGCGTGTCAAAAAACAGGGGAGAAGGTAGACAAGGCTTTCTCATGGCGAAAAGAAGAGCCCCGCAAGGTTTGGGAGTGTGGAGAAGTACCTGGAGGCCTTTTCAAAGTGAGGACACCCAAACATTTGGTCACACGCCTGGGAAAAATTGTCTGCAATGCCGACGCGCGGACTTTTCACAGAATAAGGATGGAGGATGTTTTTCCAAACCAATCTGCATTTGGATGTTTTCACACAACTTTGCTCAATGAGTTCTGCCAACGCCAATTTCCCCAGAACCCACCTAATAATAAAAGACACCCTGGGTCCACCCGATCACATGTTTTTTGTTATCTCAATGGGCTCATTTCCAAAGGGCGAGCCTCAATGGAAAATCAAATTGGAAGCAAGACATATTGCGAAGGTTTTGCTGATTGAATAACAACCTGGGTTTAAAAACACGGCCGGCGAAACCACTTCTGAATACATATAAATGCGCCCGACCAATTGAATCAGTGTGGAACACATTCCCCAGTTCAAAATCTTAGTTTTTGCAAAATTTTGAAAAAGTCAACGTGAGGGAGTTATAACTAGTTAAAGTTAACGAAATTTTAAACGAGCGCTATGTATATATAACTGCAGTTGCAAGCCAATAAGCGCAAAAACCATCTGCGCGCGCGCGCGTGAGTGAGTGAGTGAGTGAGTGAGTGAGTGAGTGTGTGAGTGTGTGAGTGTGTGAGTGTGAGTGTGAGTGAGTGAGAGTGAGAGTGAGAGTGAGTGTGAGTGTGAGTGTGAGATGAGGGAGAGTGAGCGTGAGTGTGAGTAGTGAGTGTGAGTGTGAGCGCGAGTGAGAGCTTGAGAGTGAGAGTGAGAGCGTGAGAGTGAGTGTGATTGTGAGTGTGAATGAGAGTGAGTGTGAGTGAGAGTGAGCGTGAGTGTGAGATGAGTGAGTGTGAGCGTGAGCGTGTGTGAGTGCGAGTGTGAGAGTGAGAGCGAGAAAGAGTGAGAGTGAGAGAGTATCTGTCTGACAGCACAAAGTGCTGCGCATGACGCGAATTGCTGCGCCTACCACGAAATCAGCGCTTCGATGTTCACAAAGTGCCGCGCCTGCCACGAAATCTGCGTTCCAAGATTCACACGCGGCTGACAAGGTGTTTCGCCGCAAGAATGCTTCCAAGGACAACGTCCAGCTACCAAAACGCAGCTTTTGCGCGAGACTTCCCCCGATTTCTGTAAACGACCCACACGTCCAAAAGTCACAATTCACTGCACCTGGCACGAAACTAGAGCGCATCGAAGATCACCATGCACCATGTCCAAAGTGCTGTGCCTGCCATGAAATCTGCATTTCGAAGCAACACCGCTCCGATCCCTTGCACCTGTCACGAAAAGTCGACTTTGGACCACCAAAACACGAGGTTTTCCTTGCGCCTGCCACGAAAAAGTGACCACCATGTCCGAAAATGTGCGTGGCGCCACAACGAGAGCGCAGTCGCGACAAACGCAGATTCTGCGACCGTGCGCAGTCAAAATGCATTTCGCGGATTTCGAGAGGCGTGAATGTACTGTAAATAGCAGCGAATTAGCCGGGCGCCCTGGTGCAACACCTCGATTAGACACCCGGTGCTCAAGAATTACTGTAAGAACGCCTAGTGTGACCACATTGCTTTCGGGCAATTGTCTGAACGTTCAAAAAGCTTTGTAGTGTGCTTTTTCTCATTGGTTAATCGGAATCTTGGGCGCACAAACTTGCAATATAAAATGTGTCACGCAGTGCTTTAAAAACCTCATTTTGCCTAAAGAGATCGTGTGCTACCAATTGACCTTTGAACCAGGGCCCAAGCAAAGCCGGGCTGGTGCCGTCATCTACGGTAGTCGAACTCGCCTCCCACCTCTGAACCAGTTGACCCCACCGCAACATGGTGCATTGCACCACAAACCACTATGTGACAAACCACTTGACTACGTCGTACGTAGTCGCAAACCGCTACTCGTTGCAGCACTACATCACACATGATGATCACTACGTATCGCATCACTCACGTGCATTATATATGTGCCAATATAACAACGACTTTTGACCACGCTGTAAACGGCCAGACATCGCGCTCACCACATCATTCATTCGGCGTCGCCTCACTATACGTTGCGCTTCGCAACTCACCATGCAACAACTCGTCGCGCAGGAGATCCAGAACGCACACTACCCAACTCACTCTTTGTGTGTGCGAATCGCTTGACGTAGTGTTTCGTTACAATAAATGCATTTTTGCGGATACTTTGTTGTTGTTAGTCAAGGACGCTGCCTGTAGCCTATAAGCCTTAAACTGGATGCAGATGCAATGTGATAGTGAGGCAGTTCTATCACAAAACAATTCTACGTGAGCTCATCTATGTATATGATTTCCAAACAAACTTTTCTATACGTCAGATGTTGACAAGCTATTTAGCTCATGTCAATTCAATCAAAGATTCATCAATGGTCAGTAACACCTCTTATTGGGGCTGTGCCACCTCATTTTGGACACGGATAGGCAAGTCAACATGTCAAAACCTCGAGAATCCGCTAAGTTTTTGGGCCAACAGAACAGGATACAATCTCACCGAAGAGCAGACGCAGTCCAACTCTTTTTGGGAAGACCCAATGCCGCAATGCCGTTGGCGCAAATATATAGTTAGGTAACATATTTGGTTCAGCGGGTTATTGCGTACAGCCATTCTCATGGTGACCCAGTGGATCCAGTGTTCCTACAACTCCCCACTGTAATACTTCACAGGATTTCACATATGTGAGGCGTCGACGGCTAAGGCCTGTAGCCTTGCTTATTGACCTCGCCAGGCGAACCTCTAGTCCTCACAACCCGCATCGGTGAAGTGTTCGAGTTTGTTCCTACTCCGTCAGTGGTTAACCATGGTTAACCCATTATAATACAGCCACTAATACAGCCTTTTTGGTGATTTGTTTTCCAGCTTAAACATGAACGGTGAGAAAAGGCTAACCTTGGTCTTTGTCCAGGGAAACTGAGGAGGCCAGTGACTTGATGGCTTGACATCATTACCTGGCAAGTGCGGGAGGTCCTTCTTGAATTCTTTTTGTTATATTTGACAATGGCTTTACTGAGACTGATCCTTGGTTCGAGATTCCACTAACAGTTAACATTTCGGAATGCTTTAGAGGTCGGCAGTGAAGACGATGCAGAGGAGCAATGTTAATATTTGACCTCGTCATGCTTGTTCCATTTTAGATATATTATATAGATCTTATCTTCAAAAGGATTTGTGTTGGGGACGACGATGCGCAATGGCCAATTACAATTTCAAAGCAAATCGCCATTTGTCAAACCGCCAACCACATGACATCTAAGTTCACACAAAAGGACGCTTCTTCATGCTCTGCGTGCTCAAAAAGTGGTTCTTTGCTTCAAAATTGAGGCCTACTCAATTCCATGTCCTCCAAGGCATGAGCTGGATAGAGGCATTCCATCACCATGAGTCACAGTGGAGGGAGTGTTTTGTGATGCTTGTGCTGGCAGTGCGGCAGAGGAGTTAAAGACAGTTTGCTGAGTGGACTCTCCACATTCTTTCGAGAGGATGAGTCTCAGCTGGATGTTGCATTGTGGTAGCCAGAAGGGTTGGGATAAGTCACCACCAGCCTTTAAGAGCCCCTAAGCACTCTGAGCGTCAAAGATCAGCCACGAAGTCTCAGAGTACCTAAGCCAGTGCCTAAGCCTCAACCTCTGAGCCCCTAAGCCTCTGGGCGCCTAAGCGCAAATAAGGTGCTCAAGCCGAAGGAAAGGCCTGAAACAAAGGCAAGGTATTGAAACGATGCTCTAAGGTTGGCTTGGGAACGAAGGGAAGAACTCTGAACGAAGTGAAAGGCATTGCAAAGCTGGAAGACAGGTTCTGTCGCAAGAAGCAGGATTCCAAGAGACAGGAGGCATGAAAAACATGTCATCGAAGCGCAGGGAAAGGATTAAATCATAGGACATATGGGAAACGAATGGCCAATAAAAGGCTTCAGAACGAGGAGCAGCGAGTGCAAGGAAAGGATTGAATAAGCGCCAGGAAGGCTGCTTTTGAAGCAATGCTTCTCAAGAAGCGGTCTGTTTTCTTGAGCCAAAGTGTTAGTGGGTTTGTTTGGGGGTTCACGAAAGTGTCTCGCCTGCACACTCCTCGATTTGTGCGTCTCCGTACTCCCCCCGCCGTCCAACGGCGCTTCGGAGCTTGTCCTGGCTTTTTCCAGGAAGAAAGTCATGCCACGCCACTCCCCAGGTCCTGGCAACTCTTCTCGTCGCCAGTCACTGTCGCGGCAAATGCGGTGTGCCGGATCATCACGTTTGCGTGCGATGGCGACCCGAAAAAGCACTAGATCCCACGCGCTCACCGGACAACTCCGGCGCTCAGGGTGAAAGCGCTGCGCTCGAGGACAATGTCGCCGCACCAGCCACAAAGCGGAGGAAGTCCCAGGTGTCTGTCCGGACAACCAAGCGGTGCATGGGCGCCTCCTCTTCCAAGAGTTCCTGGATATTGGTGAACAACTCATCATGCCACCAGACACTGACGGCTGGATGCTGATCTGGTCACCCATCAGCCCTGTGATGGGAGGGCGCAGCATGCCATATGGACGTTCTCGTGGCGGTTGATAGCCACGAACAGGAGTGGGTGGAGATCCAAGGTCAACGCCCGCTCTGGCTTCATTGGCGGCCCCCGCCAGCTGCCTTGTGTGGAGCTTGGGCTGGCTCACAAAATCGAGGGCGTAGTACCAATTGGTGGAAAAGGGCTCCATGACAATATCCGGCCCAGGGGGTTCACCAGGAACCTACCTACGTTTGCGTGGTGTTCAAAAACATTGCGTTTTGCAAGGTTTATGGCCCTTCGGATGTCATGGATTTCATCTTGGCGATGTCAAAAAATCGCAATTGTTTACGTGGTTTTGGCTTCGGAGAGGGGGTCTGGGACGGCAAAAGTCGCATCTTAAGAGTATGTCAACATAAATCGCAAAATCCATCAACATAGCTCCAACATAGGCCCAACATAGCCCCAAGATGGGCCAACTTAGCCCCAAGATGGGCCAACATAGCTCCAGGATGGGCCAACATAGGCCCAAGATGGCACGACATAGACCCAAAATGGGCTCAACATTGCCCCAAGACCACCCCACATAGCCCAAAGATGGGTTCGACCTGACAACAAGAACAACAACAACAACAGCGACGACAATCCCTCCGTCCACTTTCTTTGCTCTTCCCCCTTCTCCCTGTTTTGGGCTCCTGGCCGGCTGTCGGGCGTAAGCCCTTACTTAGATGGGCGTGGGTGTTCGCACCTATTTAAGGGTCTTAGGCCTTCATAGTAATGAATTGATAACAAGTTCTAAGTCAGTTGTAACTAATTCTATTCCTGCTAACTGAAATATAACAAACCTAATACAATTAAGGTAGTTATGTAAATATTTTCAAAAGTTAGCTAACGTCTTAAAATTCTTAATTTTCTATTTCCTGCTGACTAGTTAGCAACGCTTCAACTAACTCTAACTCAATTTTGCTAACTAGTTAGCTAAAGGTATGTAATTTGAACATCCAAGTTTTTATTGGGTGAAATGATTAGTTTTAAAAATTATTCTTGGTTGAAATTCAACAAGAAGTTGTGTCAATGAACAAAACTATATTGTTCACCAAATAGTACAATGTATTCTGGACTGACATAGAAATGTGCGCAAACAAAGAATAGGTTTATCAAAAGCATTTTTGTAAAACATGTCTTGGTTTATGTTTGTCGTAATCAACGCAAGGTTCCTTGATGCCAAGGCAAGATAATTTGCCTAGCGCAATGCAATCCCATGAATGGCTGTAAGCCAGCGAGCCGCAAACTGGCTTTCATACAAGCCACGAGCTGGCTTTCACATGCAAGCCACATGGCTGGCTTTCACATACAAGCTGGCTTTCCAGCCACAAGCTGGCTTTCGCATACAAGCCACCATGGCAAAGTCCTTACCAATGTCTACCTATGTCCAGGTGTATGCCTTGGGTTTACTCCCTGGGGCTCAGAAAGCGATGTGAGAGTTTTGTTGTTTGTACCCAGCGCTTGTTCGCATTTATCTCTTTACTTCCCAAACTGAGGAATCCAACCTGGTGGCAATATGTTCAATACCATGGATGCAGGGATGGTTGGATTTGGGCGTCTAAGTTGAACCTAAACTGCTGGTACCGTGGCACTACCTGGAGGGCTAGCTGAGGAATGAACTTGGGCCTGGTTGTATTAGCAAGGGCTGGGCCAAAGAGCTCATGTGAAAAAACAGGTGTACATTTGCGCGGCAGTTTTTTTCTCCAAAGCCCATGTGGCTATCTCTTATTGCTGATTGGTTCTCCAAACCCATTATGGCTCTTTTTGTAACACGATTGTCTCCATAGCCTTTTTGGCTATCTCTGTTTTGGTTTTGGTTTGAAAAGCAATTATTTGTATTTCTGCATGTTTCAAAGCTGTCCTTGCTATCTCTTTTGTTCACATTATTTGACAAAGCCAGTATGGTTTTTTCTGTCGCCTTCAACGCCTCCTTGGCTATTAGTGTTTTGTTTGGTTTAAAGCCTTCATGGCGACCTCTAATTGTTGCGCAGTGCTTTGAAGGAATATGGATATTGATACTGATATTGACGTACAGTGAGATGAGGTTCAAGTTCCTGGAAATCATCAACGAAACAAAGGAGTAGAACCATTGGATAGACCAACTGCAAACCACATAGGCTCAAGCTCTCTATGGCCTTTGCCAAATGACGCAATATCAAATACAAAGTGGAAAGACATTTGTACAATGTTTCATAAACAGACCTCATAGCCATTCAATCCACTTGTCACAACGAGGTATTGTAAGTTCAGAAATCTGAATCTAACTGTCGGGATTGAGATTTAAGTTCCAAATTTTGAACCTAACTGTAAGGGTTGAGTTTTTAAGGTCAGAACTCTGAACCCAACTGTCAGGATTGAAATTTTAAGTTCAGAATTCTGAACCCAATTGTCAGGATTGATATTTTAAGCTCAGAATCCTGAACCTAACTGTCAGGATTGAAATTTTAAGTTCAGAACTCTGAACCCAACTGTCAGGATTGAGATTTTAAGTTCAGAATTCTGATCCTAACTGTAATGATTGAGATTTTAAGTTCAGAACTCTGAACCTAACTGTAAGGATTGAGATTTTAAGTTCAGAACTCTGAACCTAACTGTCAGACACTTCACTGCTTTGATTTCATCAAACCGAGTGTCACCAAAAAATATTGTCCTGCGAGCCACGCCGGTTGACCCCAGGAACGTGAAGATGATAGCCTTTTAGGCATTAGGTTTTGCTTCCTTGTTTTTTCCACAGTTTTAGTCATCAATCTTTTTCCTTCAACTCCCTCGCCTAAAAAATGCCAACATTTTTAGTTCTATGGTGTTGTTTTCTTAATTTCCTTCACAAAAAACTATTGTCCACAGCTTTTGTCATCAGATTTGTTTCCTTCGGTTCCCTCACCATAAAGTTTGTCCACAGTTTTAGTCATTAGGTTTTGTTTCCTTAATTTGCTTCACAAAGTTTTTTTGGTTCACAGCTTCAGTCATCAGATTTTGATCCTTCAGCTCCCTCACCAAAAAATGTACACAGTTTTATTCTTTTGTTTTTGCTTTCCTTAATTTCCTTCGCCAAAATTTTGGCCCACAGCTTTAGTCATCAGATTTTGTTTCATTCAGTTCCCTCACCAACAAAAAGCACCAGACTGTTTTAGTCATTAGGTTTTACTTCTTCAATTTCCCTCTCAAAAGAAATTGTCCACAGTTTTAGTAACCATTTTTCTTTCAATTCCCTCGCCCAAAAAATTGTAGTTTTAGTCTTTTGGTTTTGTTGACTAAATTTCCTTCACCAAATTTTGGTCCGCAGCTTTAGTCATCAGATTTTGTTTCCTTCAACTCCCTCACCAAAAATAACACAGACAGTTTCAGTCATTAGGTTTTACTTCTTCAATTTCCTTCCCCAAAATGCCCACAGTTTTAGTCATCATTTTCTTTCAATTCACTCACCCTAAAAAATTGTCCACAGTTTTAGTCCTGTGGCTTTGCTTCCATAATTTCCTTTACCAAAATTTTGGTCCACAGCTGTAGTCATCAGGTTTTGTTTCCTTCAACTCCCTCACCAAAAAAGCACCAGACAGTTTTAGTATGTGTTTGTCATTAATTTTTGCTTCTTCAATTTCCTTCACCAAAACATGTTGTCCACAGTTTTATTCATCAGTTTTGTTCCCCCAGCCCTCTTACCGAAAATTGTCCACAGTTTTAGTCCTTGCTGCGCTTGCACCTTTCACTTTTAAAGCAATTGTTTGGCTATGTTTGGCTTTTCCTGTTGTCAATTCATCTCATTCTTTTTAATCCAGTTTGTGGCTTTTGCTGGTGACGTCAATCTAAAGCCTTTTGGTTTCGGCCTTCAAAACCTGCAAGCCATATGCGGCGTTGGCTGATTGCACTGGATGAAGCCTTTTTGTTGGCTTTGGTTGTGTACTGAATTAAGCCTCCTGGGCTTTGGCCTGAGACCCTCCAGTTTTGTGAAATGATGATTTTGAAAATCACCATGGCA